GGCCTGAGGATGTTATTCAAATAAATTATAGATTGTGCTGAAAAACGGTAACGTTCACACAGAAAATCATCAGGAAATGATAAAATGTCCAAACGCGCTCTAATCACTCTCTCCCGGCGGAGAGCTCTGCGGAGAATTTGGGCTTCAACATCTACTGGCTCTTCAGGGAAGGGGCACGCCATGTCTGACACTTCCTACAGTCAGGTTTCTGACAAAGAGGCGGAGAAGGTCAGGGTTAGTTGAAGTAAACCTGCTAGGGGGCAGGTTAGCTTCACGGAGTGTGTCGTCATAGTAACTCACTCAGAATTAATCTAAACTCGCTTTGTGAAACCGAAAACCCAGAGTTTTCGTTAACTCAGGGTATACTTACTCAGAGTTTGCACTAAACCGGCTTCCTGAAATAGGGCCCTGGTCCCATCATGGACAGCCTTCTTTTCTGCAGTTGCAGGCCAAGGGTCATATACAGTAAACAAATTGTTACTGGTGATTGTTTTCTTTTGGAAACCTTCTGCAATGTTAGGGACAACTTGCGTGCCCTGACTGCAGGCCAGATGGTTTGCCATCATACACTAGCATGTTCCATGTACAGCTGGACCTGGCATCACATACTGCCCACGTTTTTTATCTCAAAGTTCCCCGGTTTACTTGGGATGTTGTGTTGGAATGGACAGAGTCCTCTCCAAGTGCAAAGTCCTCCAGTGCAATGGAGGCTTGTGAGCATACTTTCTGTGTATGTATTATTGTAGGGTCTACCTTGCAATATGAAGCACTGTGATGCAACTGTTGTTGTGATTTGGCGCTGTATAAATACAATTGAACTGGATGTAGAGCACCTGCCTCCTCATTGTGCTGCCTGTTGTTGTTGTTGTTGTTATGGTTATGACCCCACACATCAGTGATCCAAGATCAAAGATGTTTGAAAGAAGTATGGTGTGAAAATATGTCCCTTTGCAACACTTTGTACTTTGGGGACATTTTTGGCCCCGAGGACAACAGGTGTTATAAAATCCAATAAAAAACCCCATAAATAAATCAGATTACTTAAAACTTCTTCCAATCATACATAGCATAGTACTGAATAACTTTTGTTATTTTCAGACCATTTGATGAAAATAAACACATTTTTGATAGAAAAAAAGATTTCTTTAGAAGACAAAAATGACCCAAGGACAAAACAAGGGTTTTAACAGTGACTGAAGCTGGTGAAGCTAAGCGACCGGCAGCTTTTCTTCAGGTGATTTCCACATATATATATATTGTGGATAAATCACTGGTCTTAGTTCAGCTAAGAACTGCGCTTTGTGTGGCAACACAGCTAACGTTAGCAAGTAAACAAGTTTTAGTCATTGTAACAGATGTGTTTCATCTTGCTAACCACATCAACCAACATTATTATTGTAGGGTCTACCTTACAATATAAAGCGCCTTGAGGTGACTGTTGTTGTCATTTAGCGCTAGATAAATAAAACTGAATTCAATTGAACTGAATGTGATGTAAAAACAGAGTTTTTAAAAATTGTTAATAGCCCAAGGAAAGCTGATGATGATGGAGATGGGACGGCAACTCTCCCAAAGTTATCTGGCTTTAAAAATGAATGAAACAGGCATAACAGAAAAACTTTACACAGTTGCCATTGTTTTTGTTCACCCAATCTAGGATGAAAACATTGCTGTTAATTTTATGAGACATTAAACTGCATAATTTTCAATAAATACCTGGAAAAACTGGGATGTTCTGAAATGTTTGACTGGTAGTGGATGATAATCAGAGAAATTTGAGTAACATATAATGCTAAAACACAGAAAATGCTTTCTACATTTTATACATCCCACAGCCAGAGTAGCTCTCTCTCCCGAGCATCCCTGTATGATACTAAACCTTTAGGCTGTTGGAACAGTCAACCATGAACTATTTTTAGTAGCCAACCACACACATACTGCATAAATCACACGTAGTATTAATATACTGCTTGTATATTTTTTGCCCCGCCAAAAACCCTCCATGAGAAATAATATAAAATATATACATGTTTTAATGTTTTAATTGGCATCACATGAAACACACGAAAGCTTAATTACATGGGATTTCTTTTAGCAAATTTTTGTGCTTTTTCACATAAACCTATCCAGAGAAAAAAAACAAAAACAAATGCTGGATTGTGATAAGCAGCATACATTAAGCCACAGCAGAGAGAGAGCTTGTTCAACTTGAACAAGGAAACAGAAAATAGGACAGAATGTTAAATATTCTGGCAGACAAAACAGGGAAGCAGACATGGAGATGCACTGAGAGTGAGGTGTAGAAACAAAAACAAGAGAGAGAGAGAGAGAGAGAGAGAGAGATAGATGCTGTAATCCTCCGAGTTTAAACCCGAGCTGCTGAGTAAAGCTGCCTCAGAGTGAAGTATGGGAGATGAAATGCTGCTGTCATCCTCCGCTCTTATAACAGATGGAGCATCCTCAGCTGTGAGCAGCAGCACCCAGCAGGATGACTGCTTCTCTTGTCCTCTGCCTCCTCCTTCTGCTTCACATTTTCAGTCTTACAACAGGTAAGTACATAGGGGTGTGCTTTGTGATTCCTTGTTGATATTATTGATTTTGCCTTTGTGTGGTCTTTTCAGTAGTCAAAAAAGTCAGTTTCTAAGAGTAGTTATAGGTAGTAGTAGCAATTATAAGTGTTTTTTAAATCATTTGTTTCAGGGAACATGATGGTTTCACATAAACTTACTTGTGATGAAGTTAATCACCTGAGAGAGAACAATGCACTTTTTATACTGATACTTAAGAGAGTAAGTGTGTGTGTGTGTGTGTGTGTGTGTGTGTGTGTGTGTGTGTGTGTGTGTGTGCGTTGCATGCCTGCGTGCGTGCGTGCCTGCGTGCGTGCGTGCGCGCGCATAGTGAAAGGATCATGCCATCATGCCAGTATTTTTACACATTTGGAACAGTAGTTTGACAGGACACATCACTACATGACAATTGTTTTGTGTTAACTCTGCAATTAATAATTTGCTTAATTAAAGTATTTATTTTCTTCCAAATCCTTAGAAATCCATCTATTTTATTCTGCTTATCCTATTTAGAGTCACGGACAGGGCTGGGTCACAGGGCATGGCTGTCTAAGGTCGATGTCAACAGTCTTGACATCGACCTTAGTCATCAAGCGTCATAGTACTCCTTGAACAAATTACTAAAAATCTCCATGCAAATAATGATGTTTTCTGTATTGTGAAATGATCTTCATGAGAACTTTAGGACAACATGCCAATGGTCAGCCCAGCCTTACTTTGGACTGTGTACACAGATGACTTTGCATATCATAAGATATATGTTATATCTATTTTTTTGTATTTTGGCTGAGGTGAATTGACTGGAAACCAGAGGTTGTCTGGAAGCTATTAAATGTTTAAAAACCTCAAAAACTTTATCAGCTTTTTAAAATTTGCAGCTATGTGAGGATTATGTAAACATAGATTTAATGTTACAAATTCAGCAGCTGCAGTCTTTCTCATGGATCTTGTTGAAATCCATTTTTATGAAAGGAAATTTGGATGTTTATTAAGCCTTTTGTTAAAGCTTCAGAGTAGGAAAGCTGTCCTTTAGTAAGTTACTTAATCCTGCTCAGAGATTTTTGCCCTTAGGGATAAAAAAGCCCATTGTCTAACCATGACCCATATTGCTCAAGGTAATCTGTACTTTAAAATGATTAAATGTTAGCGGCTGCTCAAACCACAGAGTGCATGAATGCTAATCCCAAAGCAGAAGTCAGAGATTTGCGATCTATGATCTTCAAAATGTCCGTCTAGATTTTGGTTCATGAATTATTTTCTCCGGGAGAACGAGCTCCTTCACTAACGTGATGTGGAGCCCAAAGACAACATCATGGAGGTGCAATGGGAATTACACATGACAATTCCATATGAGGGGAAAAAGGAAAGAATTCATTCATGCAATTTGAAACTTACATTTAAAGAAATTATGAAACATGAATAACATAAAATAAAATGCAAAGGAATATTTGATTTCTAATTCATAGTTTAATAGAAACAATTTAGATGCTGTCATTACATCATAGGCTTTGGAGGGGTCCTGCTCATCGCTTTATCTCATTTAAACTGCAGTTTAACTCATAAATCTACATTAACCCACTTTACTTGCTCCAGTTAATTTTCAGTTCAGGATTTTGAGTGGACTATTAGGGCAACTGTGCGATGCAGGAGGGGTTTAAAATGTTCTTCTGTGAAAGACTTTTGTGATTAGTTTTTCAATTTGGCATAATTCTTACAGCAGATTAAAATGATAATTATTCCTAACGCAGTTCTCAAAACAGTTGCTAAAAATACTAAAACACACATGTCAAAACACACAAAATCAGTCAATCACTTCATCCCTGACATTACCATTTTGAGACTTAGGCACCAAATGTTTTTTTTACTTTTATCAAAACATTTTTTGATAAAAGTAAGGCCAGACAGTCCTGATCCCCAAAGATCCTCAGCAAGGATGAGCCCCATCAAACTACCAGCCAATAACCTACCTCAGCACCACATGGAAGCTCCATCATAGCAACTAAGATGAACTAGCACATGGCTCAATATCTGAGCGGGACCCAGAAAGGAATGGGCAGAAACACTGGAGGAGCAAATCACCAACTACCTGCAGACAGAGCAGTCACTTGATACTGTAAGACCAGACTGACCAACCTGTGCACTGCCTGGATTGACTACAAGAAAGCCTCATGACTCAATGCCTCACACATGGATACTAGAATGCGTAGAACTGTACAAGATGGTCCTGATTAAGGCTCTACAACTGTAGAGCCTTAATGGCAGCACTCACACAATGCCAAAGGGACGATATATTTTGGGGGCACTGACTATTCAGATTAGAAAGAAATGTAGTTTTGACACATGAGGGAACTGTTTTAGGAGAGATATGAGCTTTTGCAGGTGGACCATGTTGTTGTGATCAACCATCCAGGTTTATTTTTGACAAAAGCACCAAGAATGATGAGAATGTCCAATCTGTGTCGAGAAATGAGCTAAAGCTATTGAGAAGGATCTTTGCCATTTTGGAGACACTGACTGTTTAAATGCGAAAGGGATTTAGATTGAAGCCTGAGTGAACAGTTTTGGAAGAGATATGAGCTTTTGCAGGTGAGCTATAGTGTTGTGCTAAACTGTAAGAGTGTTTTGCCAAATGATCTTAGAGTTTTGAGAATGTAATTTCTGTTTCAAGAAATGAGCCAAACCAATGGAGAAAAACTGTAAAAGAAATTAAATACATATTCAACACATATTCACTTAGTCATGGTGCACTTTTCAAAATTTCTGACTGTGAGGACAAGAATGGACGAAATTGTGAGAGAGAAGGCCACCGTGTCACAATGTATCAATCAGTCAAGTATCAATCAAGGACTGATACCAACCTGTTGCAGCAGATGGCTACCCCTCACGGGTTCACCAGTATCCAATATTCATTTTCAGTCTTGTCCTTTTCCAGACTCTTGGAATTTTTTGATGATACTTTCTGATAAAAGTCGTCACAATTTTATATTTAGGAATATCAATCTATTTTCTTCTGCTTATCCAATTCAGGGTGTTCTAAAACATTACTGTGAAATTGTTCCACAATTTGTAGAAATAGTTCTTTGCAGATTGGTGCACCTCTGCTCATCTTTACTTTTTAAAAGCGCTTCCTTTCCAATGCACTCTTTTTTATACCTAATCATGTTACTGATCTTTTGACAGTCAACCCAATTAGTTGCAAAATGTTCCTCCAGGTGTTACATTTCCAGCCTTTCTTGCCCTCTCCCAGCTTTTTTGTGATGAGTTATTGCCATCAAATCAAACTACAACTATTACTACAACAACAACAATTTTTCTTAAAATGATACACTATCACACTTTAAACCTTTGACAGGTTTTCTATGTTCCATTGTGAATAAAAGATTGGATAATGAGGTTTGTAAATCAGTGTTGTATGATATTAAATGAATGAAACTTAGAATGAAACTGCAAGACAGAAGACAACCAGTCCCAATTAAAATCTTCAACCAGTAAAATTTCATTGGTTATTAATGGAGGTAAAATGGCTTACAAGGTACATTTCCAAATAAAGGAACACAGAGAAATAATTAAATGTGTCCATCACAGTGATATGGCCATGGTATTTGCTCTGGAAGGAACTGAACAGCTATTCGAGAAGATGAAAGATATTTCATACACCAGTTCTCTTTTTGTGAGGATTTTGGGCTCAGGTTAAGCAGCTAGATAACAGACGTGGTGGTTTTAAATAACGATCTGAGCTCTGTGAGCAAAGAAGGGCATTAATGTGAGGTGAGTCTCATTATTTTCCATTTTAAAGCAGCTTTTGTTTTGTCTCATTAAAGTTCACCATTCCTAATGTCTAGAGAAGCAACATAAATTGCAGATTTGTAGTTGTGTTTTTTCAGTTTGGTGTTCATGCGTTTGGATGTTGGAGTCTATTTTCTGACAGGAGGGCAGACTGTCTTGCATCCTATAATGGGAGAATAGAGTGGCTTGTTCTAACTTTATCCCCCAGCAAACACAAGACATGGTCTATGTCTATGTCATGAACTTAGTTTTACAATTCACACACACTGTCCTGACAGGGAAGAATCATATCACCTCTCTATATCTCATTTGACTAACATTAATCTCATTACAAAATATGTTCTCTCTGGCTTTTTTGTTGTCTGTTTTGTTTAGGGTTTTTTTTTTTTGACATTTCAGTATTATTATTCTTTTATGTGTTAATCTCTTTGCCACATTGCGTGTG